CACAATGCAGAAAAAAAGTACACAGCAATGACGGGGTGAAATTTTAAAACATCAAGAGTGCAAAACCAACACATCCACTCACACACATGAGTACACACACACTTATACACACACACACACACACACACCTATGAACTGGTGTGACTGTAACACAGCAAATATGTCAAATAAAAGCAATAATTCAACTGTGTAATGCAGTAAAAAAGTGGACAGCAAGGAAGGGGTTACACTTTAAAACATCAAGAGTGCAAAACGGACACATCCACTCACACACACACACACATACACAATTATACACACTCAAATGAATTAGTATGGCTATAACCATATAGACAAAACGAGTCAGAAAACTGAAATAAGAGGCTGAAATCCGTCAGATTTATCCATATGTCTGCTCTTCTCTTACTCCCACATATAGACATTTTTGAACGTTTTATGAGACGTGCAGCAGGTGTATGTTAGCTTATGTCCCATATACACACACACACACACATACCTATGAACTGGTGTGACTGTAACACAGCAAATATGTACAATAAAAGCAATAATTCAACTACAATGCAGTAAAAAGTGGACAGCAAAGAAGGGGTTACACTTTAAAACATCAAGAGTGCAAAACGGACACATCCACTCACACACACACACACCAGAATTATACATACTCAAATGAATTGGTATGGCTATAACCATATAGCCAAAACGAGTCAGAAAACTGAAATAAGAGGTTGAAATCAGATCAAACCCAGAAGGATTAAGCTCTGATAAAACATTCCTGGTCATTTTTGTTACATTTTTATAGAATTGTAATGTTTTGTGTAACAAAATGCTTTCTCTGTGTTCAGGTTTGACTGTAGTAATAATAATTCAAAAACTGACGCTTCAAATCAACATTTCAAACAAAGAAAATCTAAACCTTTACAAAAAGTTGTCTTTGAGAATGTCTACATATATATCCAAACCCACAACTTAATAAAAATAAGTATTTATGTCTAAAAACAATTAGAGAATTTATAGCCCTTTTATATAGAGCTATATAGGAATCTATGGACTAAACCATGGAATTGTAGATGGTTTTTCTTATTTTACTCCCACCAGATGGCACTAATCTGGCTTCAAAAATGGGATTTTAAAGGCATTGACTCTATTTTAGCATGAAATATTGCATTCATTGAAAAGTAATATAGAAATATATTTTTTTACAAATTTGTATTATTTTCAATGGGCAGAAATTTATCATAATTATTGCATAAATATTAATTAGTGCCATGACATTATCTCAAAATACAAAAGAAAAAATATTATTGAACAAAAATATATTACATTGATTTTACTGGGGCAAAAAAAAGTAAAATTTTAGGTGTCCGGTCACTTTTGACCGTGAAAATGACAGGTGTGACTCCCAAATGAGGAGCACCAGAGGGTTAAATGCACAAACACAGCCAGTGTGAAACTGTAAATCTGATGTTTTTCTCTCAGCTGGTCCTCTGGCTTTGGCGCGAGAGCTGCTGACCGATAACGAGGAGCCTTTCTTCGTTCTCAACAGTGACGTCATCTGTGATTTTCCCTTCGACGACATGCTGAGGTTCCACCAGCAGCAGGGCAGAGAGGGCACCATTGTCGTAAGAAACACACTTTCTTTGGAAATCCCAAATGTTGTGGAAACCACTGTATGGTCTCACTGGCTGAGATTTAAATTATGCAATGTTGAAATATGACTCAACCCCATAGTCTATCCGAAGAGGTTTTACAGCTCCTTTCAATGCACTGTATAAAACAAGTACATTTTTAGACCCTAACGTGATAAATTTCTGCCTCTCTCATCTCTGAAGGAATATTTGACCCAACATTACTCACCTGTTACTCTGTTACTCACTTACTGGGATTATCTGGCTGATGTTTCAGGTGACAAAAGTGGAAGAGCCATCTAAGTATGGTGTGGTGGTGTATGAAGGAGACACTGGACGAATACACCGCTTTGTGGAGAAGCCGCAAGTGTTTGTCTCCAACAAAATCAATGCTGGGATGTACATCTTTAGCCCTGCCATGCTGAGAAGAATCCAGGTCAGGATTGACGCAAACACCATCTCAGAAAACACTGTCATTTTATATGGAATTTTCAAAAAATATACATTTTTCGACTGCAATTAAATGCATATTGCTTATAGGAAGCAACCTATGGTACATTGTTTGCATTATGACAGTTAGGTATTTTTCTCCCCTCAAAATCTAATTACCATAATGTGAAAAAAATCTCATTCTCATTGTACTGCATTTATTGTGATTTACATAAAAAATCATTGAATTACAGTTTTAACTGTAGTACAGTATAAAATTACTTTAAGTAAAGGCTTCAGTCATGATGTGAAAAATGTCTCCCTCGGTTCAAATCTACTAAATGAAACTTGGTGACCAACACACCGGACCATATGTCACCAGAGAAATGTCAGATTTTTTTACTGGAAGATCCAGTTATGACGTTTTTTTTTAAAAGGTCAAAAAGAATTTTTAAAATGAAACAAATGCATGGATGAATTGTTCATAATAAGATCAATTACATCCATTTAGAAAATGTATAGGGTGAATTTCTATTTCATAGCAACTTTTAGTAAAGTATCATTCATCAAAGTGTTATTAAAAAAAAAAATCTCACAGAATTATTTATGTAGTTGCAGTGTAAATGCATTCATACCACCTATGAATGAGAAAGTGTCTGTCAAATGTGTGATACAGTATCTCAGGTCATTTATGCGAGTCATATCTTTCAGGAAGTAGGACTGTTTTCTTTATGTGATTCCATAAATATTTGCTTACAGCACATTTAACTTGTTTTCATTTTGCTGAAATGTTTAACCTTTTTCTGTATTTTGCACTCAGTTGCGGCCCACGTCCATTGAGAAGGAAATATTTCCTGTGATGGCCGAGGAGGGACACCTTTATGCCATGGAGCTGCAAGGTAAAGGATCACACAGCTTTCACCTGACACGTCTGATTAGGACTGCTCCAATACAATCATACATTAGCATTTATCACAAATATTACCTCCTTTTATTGATGTACACTGCCGTTCAAAAGTTGGGGTTCAGTAACAAGGCTGTATTAATTTGATCAAAAATTTATACATTTTTGATCAAAGTAAATTTGTGAAATATTATTGCAATTTAAAATAACTGCTTTCTATTTGAATATCTGTTAAACTGTAATTTATTTCTGTGATCAAAGCTGAATTTTCAGCATCATTACTCCAGTCTTCAGTGTCACATGATCTTCAGAAATCACTCTAATATGCTGCTTTATTATCAGTGCTGGAAACTGTTGTGCTGCTTCATATTTTTGGAACCTGTGATACTTTTTTCAAAATTCTTTGATGAATAAAAAGCTAAAAACGGTGTTTATTCAAAATAGAAATTGTGTTACAATCTACACTAATATTCAAAAGTTTGGTGTCAGTACATTTTTTCTTTCTTTTTTGAAATAAATGAATACTCGTATTCAGCAAGGGTGTGTTAAATGAATAAAAAGTAATAGTAAAGACTTATATTGTTTGTAAAGTTTTCTATTTTGAATAAATGCTGTTCTTTTTAACTTTTTATTCAAAGTATCAAAGAAAAAAGTATCACAGGTTCCAAAAAATATGAAGCAGCACAACAGTTTCCAGCACTGATAATGAATCAGCATATTAGAATGATTTCTGAAGATCATGTGACACTGAAGACTGGAGTAATGATGCTGAAAATTCAGCTTTGATTCACTGGAATAAATTATATTTCAAAGTATATTAAAATACAAAATCAATATTTGAAATTGCAATAATATTTCACAATATTGCTGTTTTTTTCTGTATTTTTGATCAAATAAATACAGCCTTGATTAGCATAAGAGACTATTAAAAATCTTACTGATCGGCAGTATATTTATCAACAGGTTTATTCGTATAAATTTGTATAGTTCATCTAAATAATCAGACTGATCGTTTACACTTAAAATTGCTAATCCCAACTCACTTAAACCTTAGGCTAACAAAATCCTGGCTCAAGTTTTTCCAGCGTTAACCCTGGGTTAGGAATTAACTAGTGTAGAAGTACAGCTAATGGTATAGTTATCATACTTGGTGTTTATGGGCCATTAAGATTTGGGCTTTCAGCTTTACTCATTACATTCTTATTTGCATATTTGCTTTATCAGTATCATTGATTGGATGAATACAGAACACAACCGGTTTAAATAAGGGCTTACTTTGCTGTTTGCATCAGTTGGGCATATACGTATATAGAAAATTGTACCATCTAGTTTGATTGAATAATCTTTTTGGACCAAGACTGAATAATATGGTCTCTTCTTTACTCTAACTAACACGTTTTTCATCACTGATTGACATTTTGATTTTCAATCAAACACTGTTTCTCTCTCACTCTCAAACACACACACACACACACACACACACGCGCGCACACACTCACACTCTCACACACACACACACGCACTCACACACACTCAGACTCTCACACACACACACACGCACTCACACACACTCAGACTCTCACACACACACACACGCACTCACACACACTCAGACTCTCACACACACACACACGCACTCACACACACTCAGACTCTCACACACACACACACGCACTCACACACACTCAGACTCTCACACACACACACACGCACTCACACACACTCAGACTCTCACACACACACACACGCACTCACACACACTCAGACTCTCACACACACACACACGCACTCACACACACTCAGACTCTCACACACACACACACGCACTCACACACACTCAGACTCTCACACACACACACACGCACTCACACACACTCAGACTCTCACACACACACACACGCACTCACACACACTCAGACACACACACACACTCACACTCTCACACACACACACACACACTCAGACACACACACACACACATTTGGCGTAAATTCGATCCAGTGGTGATATGCATCATTCAGTTACTAAACTAGCAGTTACAGTTGTTTTGTTAATTGTGTGTTTCAGGTTTCTGGATGGACATTGGCCAGCCCAAAGACTTCCTGACAGGCATGTGCATGTACCTGCAGTCTGTTCGGCAGCAGGCCCCCGAGCGGCTCCGCAGCGGGCCAGGCTTCCTCGGAAACGTTCTCGTGGTCAGACACGCTTTCACTCCTAAATATCAATTATATAGGCTGTGAACACAAGGTAGTAGCACAAAGTTATCTCACCTTATGTTTTGTAGCATCAGCCATATTTGTAACAGCTATTCTCAGCAAGTAGAGCTTCTATTTACTTAAATGGGGAAAGACCAAAATCCACAGCTGTGTGTTAAAAAATTGCATTTTAATAACATTGCAAATCGGGAAAAAACTCTTGACAGCAGCGTCTGGTAACATACAGTATAGTCAGGCTCAAACCTTTTTGTCATCTGAACTTCTTTCACCTAAAGGAGTACTTCATATAGTACTTATATGAAGTACTCCTAAGATTTTAAAATAAATATTTTAATAATGAAGTATCACATTTGCATGTTAACTGTTCTCTGATGGTGGTTAATGGTCACATGACACAATGTAAGTTTTAATGCACTTCATTTTATTAATAACAACGAATGGAATGCATTTTCTTACTCTTTGTATTTTTATATCAATATGGTGCAAGATTATCCTGTTTAAATCAATGTGAAAATCTAAAAGTAATCTAAAAGTAGTCTGATCATATAATCAGACTACTTTTAGATTAATCTTAAATGTATATTGTAATATTACCTAAATATGTAATATTGCCTAAAATGTGTAGTGTGATGGATTACATTTCTAACTACAATTATTGTCATGTAATTTGGAGTCAGTAACAGATTACAATTTGTAAGTAATCCACCCAGCTCTGAACATTTGGAAAGATATACTCACTCTAAAAAAATGCTGCAAAAAAATATTTAAAGCCACTTTCCATTTTCTGTAATGTACAGTAAACAGGAAACATGCTTTGTGTTTCTCCTATCAACATATACTGTGCCTATAAGTATATTATATATATATATATATATATATATTAAATATATGACACGCTGTAACCTCAACCCAGGACCCAACGGCGGTGATCGGTGAAAACTGTACCATCGGGCCCAATGTGACGATCGGGGCCGGAGTGGTTCTGGAGGATGGCGTGAGAGTAAAGCGCTGTACCGTCCTGAAGGGGGCGCACATACGCTCCCACTCCTGGCTGGAGTCCTGCATTGTGGGGTGGAGCTCTTCAGTGGGGCAGTGGGTGAGTTTCACTGTTCATAGAGCGCCTCCTTTTCATGTATTTTCTTCATAGCAATTACAGAGGAGTTCTTTTACGAATAATTTTAAACCAAGAACCAAGCTAATTATTGTATGAATGACAATATTAAACACTTCTATTCAAAGTATAAAAGTACCCTAGTAAAAAAATAAATATACTTGAATGTATTTGAAATGCATTTATTTCATGCTAAGTATACTACAAATACATTTTCATATTTATGTACTTATTAAAATGCACTGCAATTGTACTTTTAGTATACTAAACTGGTATACTTAAAGTCTGCTAAATTGGAACAACTAATTTTGTACTTAATGCACTTTAATTGTGCGGAAGTAGTGCTGAAGTCCAACTAAAGATATACTCGGTATATATGATTGTGCAAAAGTGGAACTACTGCAAGTATACTTCAGGTACACTTTAAAGGGGTCATATGATGCTTTTTTAAAGATTATTATTTTGTGTATTTGGTGTAACAGAATATGTTGACATGCTTTAATGTTCAAAAAACACATTATTTTTCAAATACTGTACATTATTGTAGGTCCTCTATGCCCCGCCTCTCTCAAACGCTTCGTTTTCTACAAAGCCCCCTCCTT